TTGAATTACAACAAGTTAAATTGGAATCTAAAAGTGAATATACGTATTCATTTTTGTATTGGTTGGAAAAGAATTGGTTCTCTTTCATCTTTCTCTGTGTCTTAATTCCGACTATGTTATACATACTGTGTATTAACCATTTGAAAGCCCGTTCGGTGTATATACCAGTAGCGCCAACAATACAATCACCACAATTAATTTCAGCATTTTAATCATTTTAACTAACAATCATCATCACTATTATGTTTATTTAATCACTTTATTATCTTACTAATGAATTATTTTATTTCTTTATTATTATTATTTCTTCCCTTAATAAAATTTCCATAGTTATTTGGAAATTTAGGTTATTTAAAAAAAAAAAACAAACACATCAACAACAAAATAAATAGTCTTTCGAAATGAACCGCTGGCCACAGAAATTTGATGATCGTCATCGAAACAATCGATTTAAACCAATGGCGTTCGTGAAATCGAAAGAACAGGTCAAAGAAAAGAAGAAAGTCGTACATGTTAGCTGGAAAGTACCGTCGCGATGGTTGGAGTCTGGAAATATTCAGCCAGAATACTTCCATTTTAAATATCCATACAGCCGAGAAAGAAATTATAGATATTTCACTACCGATCCGTCTTTCTCTAAGTTCGTAAAACTGACAATACAAGCCCTCGGATTCTCTACCCTGATCGAAATGAGAAGTAAACTGTTTGAAGAAATGAATATCGCTAGACTACCGGCAAAGGAACGAATAAATATTGGATATCGTCATTGGGAAGCTGCCAACAAAAGAAAAAATTGAAGACTTCATCGCACTCGATAAAAATTGGAAAGATTGGAAAAAAGAAACTGAACCATCTTCAGTTATTCGTCACCGCCGTATCCCTGAACTAGAAGGCCTTGATTTACATGCCTTAACCTCAGATGAGAAAGCTTTTCATCAATTATTCGTGTTCCCAGTTGAACCTATTGAACAAAGATCATATACACCGGTTTCGACATGGGATTGGGCTGATTTATAATCAACTAGATTAAATTTATCTTACTTATAATATATACTTTGGTATTATTGGTGTTAAAAAAATACACAAAACGAATTATAAAAAAAATATACTTAGACAATTAGTTATTATTGTCATAAGTCACAAAAAAAATTCAATTAACGCAAACTTAAACATCTTAATCAATTTACAACTTATAGTTTATAACCATTATATTTTCTTTAATATTCTCTATGTACTCCTTGGTAATCGCACATGGAACAACCTAACTGCAACCTTCGATATGGAATTTGGACTGAGTCGTTTGGATTGTTATTATCGTAAAAGGGACTTTACGAGGATGGCCACCGGAAGATGTCTCAACAACTTTGGCCAGGTGAACAAACCTGTTGGTTCACCTGGTACCATCATCATCATCACCACCAAACCACTTTTCCCTCTCTCTCTCCTTCCTCGCTCCTCGTCCTTATCTTCATCCTCATCCTCCATTTTCGAATGATCCACAAATAAGCGTTGATCACATCGTCACTGACTAACGAGCCTTCGACACGTAAATTGTGTAAATTGTATACTAAAACGCCGAACTCTTCAGATATGATGAAGTCACCTTGTTTGTATTTACTGAGATTAAGCTTTGTAGATGCGGATGTCGATGATAATTGATCATTCGAATCTGAAAATTAATAAGAGAAATTGGATCGGTTAGCTCGATTGCACGGCAATCAAAAAGGTATAAAAGTTGATGAAAACAAGATGATCGTAAGAAGGATCGAAAGAAAAAAGCGAAATCAATGAATCAATCTTGATTTTCTGGTTCGCCGATTGGATTTTGATGATGATGGTTTGTTTGTCCCTTAAAATTGTAAAGCAATGAATTTAGAAATCAAGTGCATTTATTGCGCAGTTACTTACCTTCAACTTGTGATAGATTTTGCTGGTTCATTGATTGTAATGATGTAGGTAAGTGAGTGGGTGAAGATTCCATTTGGTTTAATATTCTCTCTTTTGCTGAATCTAAAATTTTCGCAATCTCAGGATGAAGCGTTTCGCCCAGATATTCTTCTAATTTTTTTTTACTTTGGCTACATACCAAAAAAATAATAGTAATTATTAGAAAGCAAGACGCAAATATTAGAAGTAAATTACTTACATGTAGCAATAAAAAACACGGGGACTTCGGATCCAGTTTGTGCAATACAATCACCTATGATAAAAAGTTTGTTGGCTCCTGGTATTTTCTCCTTTTTTTCAAATAAAAGTTCTTCGGTATAGCAAAGGACAAAATTTTGGAGGGCTTGAGGGGATTTCACGAAAATAGATGGTTTTAATAATGAGTTTTTACGCGTTTTTACTGGAAGCTTTCTAGTAATCATTTTGGTAATATAAATAATTTTCTTGCATAAAAAGGCAACATGTTGATGATTTTATGAGTGAAATAAATCAGTATTAACCAGTATTTGTGATTAACATTAACAAATCACATGATTATATTTAAATCAACACACAACTTAGCTTATCTGATTCGATGAAAAAATGTTGGAAAAGGATGGAAAAAGACAAAAAAATTCATTTCAATGTACTAGCTGGTCTGGAATCACCGCCTATTTGTTTTATTCAGTACCCTAATTGGCCTTATGGTAAACTTGTTAAAAGTTTAACAATTAGGATAAAATCGGCCTAAATACTAATTTCGGCATCGGAAATTTACTAGGACTCAATTTCAAGACAATCAAAAAAGGTCAAAAATTTCATGTGAATGTCAACGGGATAAGTACGCACCTTTGAAGGCCAATTACTCCTGAACGAAAAGTCAGATCAAAAAGATGATTAGCGCGGTTTGTTTGATAATTTTAGAACTTTCAAATGGCCGGGAAAAATTTCTCGAAAAAAGTTTTGCATCTAAATGTACCACTTTTCCGACTTTGAGAGGCCACTGCTCGGTAACGGCTTTATGGAAAAGTTCCGAATCAGAACACAACAAAACTTTCACATTTTCTCTGTAGAATCGCGAAGAAAAAACTCTGACCTAATAAATAGCCTAGAAATGGTAAAGCGTCAAAAGTCCGGATATTTGGTTGTTACGCCCTGTATAAACGTAAGGTAATTAACTTGGTTGAATTCACATACTCCATAAATGGAAAATAATTAATCAATCAAATATCCAACTAGATAGTATCGATCAATATCGTATCGGGTAATTAATAAACGAATAGAGAATTGAAATCGAAGTGAAGAAATGAGCAAGAAAACTGTTGAATTAATTTGTGTCCAGTAAATGTTAGCACGAATAAGATCATTCTAACAATCAATGGGTATTGGAGTTAATAGGAACCAGCTGAATGAACCACCAAGGAAAGTTTTGTTTTCAAATTTTGAGAAAATAGATGAAGAATTAAGGAAATACTTTCACAACCAGAAGCAATTATCTGGATGGTAAATAATCAGCTCATCTTGAATTGCTAAAGATTGGAACCAGAACTGTATACATGGAGAATTGTTTGATCTCTGGTGTAAATAGAAACATATTAAACCACAGTGAAGTTACAGTATGTTGACAAATCGTGAGCGGTAAAGTAAATAGCATAATCACCAAGGTACAAAGCGGTCAAAGGTTCAAGATTACCATAAATGAATAGGTAACAATAAGGTAAAGTGTATAAACGAGCTTAGATAATTAGTTAACATTTCTTTGAGATTTTTATTGTTCATTGTTGGTTTAATATATAATATTAAAAATAAAAATAAATTATTAATACTTTCAAGCAAAGAGATACTGAGAATCATCATCTTTCATAAACTGAAAAGGCAAAAAAAGCTCAGTACAAATAAAGGAATTGGAAGAAAAAAGAAATTGATAAAATGAACGAAAGTGCTCATTCCTCCCATATTATTATCGTCAACAAATCCCATCATTCTTATTCTCATCATGAGTATGATTGTATGATCATTATGATTGTATAACCTTGATGATTTCTTATTATCCTAATTTTGCTGATTCTCTGGCTAATTGAATAATCGGATGCACTTGACGTTTCACTTGAAACTTTGACTCAGGTTTAAAGGAAATGCTTTTTGAGTTCTTATCCGTCATCATCAGTCAGAATTGTACATATTTAACATCAGAATATGAATGTCTTATTGTATCTCATATTTACGGTAATTTCTTACTGATAAAATGAGGAAAAACTATCAGAATTTTCTTGTTTTTGCTTCCATCACAGTTAGATGATCATCTTTACACGATTAACTTCTCATTCATCTGACAAGAATCTAAATTACTAGATAATACGAACACGATAGTTTATTCTAATTTCGATAGAATTGGAGAAATTATCTGATATTCTTTTGTTATTATTCATGGATATGTTCTAGGAGAGAAACGATGTTGAATTAAATATAAATTTATACGAAAAGATGAAGATGAACATATTCTGGTCTCTCTTCATGAAAACAAATTTGCAATTAACCATTAGTCAAGTTGAATATTGTTGAGGGTTATTTTTAGATAATTTATCATGAAATGAACAAGTGAATTTCTGATTGAATATTCAGAATGAAGAAAAATTCATACCCTTTTAAAATGTGCTTATAAATTCATGTAGGGAATATAAATGACTCGAAAACATTAGCAGATCATTTTACTCCAATATCTTCAAGTTGATTCGGAAAATAATCAGATGAAAATCGGAGTGATAATGATTATGACTTTTAAAAGGAAAAACTTTAATATCATGATCATGATAAATAAATAAATTCATTTTGCCATGATAACTGTTCATTGATCATGAGGATTTACTTTAATTTTGTTAGGGGTATGATCGAGAGTTGAATGAAATATTTTCTTAGCATTTCAATTTACATGAAAGATTAGTTGATTGATTGTAAAATTTTTCGCATCTTCAACTTATCGTGAATGTTGAACTTTCATAAGAATTTCATTTAGATTGTTCTCATTTTGTTTATAATAATAAACTTATTTCTATTCATTTCTCATTATCTAATAGATTCTTTTGCTGCTCTGGTGGGACAGAATTTTTCTCTTCCTTGTGATATTTCGGGTGAACATAAGGACGATACGATTATACTTATACTTTGGTATCGAAATGATTCACTTAGACCAATTTATACAGTTGATGCTCGAAAATCAAGCCTTAAAGATGCTCCACATTCATCTGAAGTAGCAGATCGAATGAATTTTACGATAAATTATCCAATTTCGATGCTTTTTATTGGAACTGTTGAAAAAGAAGATGAAGCTGAGTACAAATGCCGAATTGATTATCGAATTGGTCGAACTGTTTATCGGACAATAAGATTAACCGTATTAGGTAAGTTCTTCATTCGCCAACAGTTTAAACACAATTCTGACCGTAATTCTTGATCTAAAACCGAACACTGATTCAATTCAATTTCTATTTTTAACAATCAATTGAATAATTGAACAAGAGTTTAACTATCGTATCCTAGTCTTTTCCAAAGACATTAGATGGAGTTATTGTTCATTCTGAATCCCAAAATAAACTTTACGAATACGAACCATAGATGGTGATACATGTTCCAAGCTCGAAACCGAACTTTCATCTCGTCGACTTTTCAAAATGTCGTTTTTTGTACATTTGATTAGATAACATAAAGAGAACAAATTATCGAAAATAAATTATTCTCGTTATATCTTCGACAAAACCACAATTGTTCATGAAAAAAATTGTTCGAAAACGATTAGTCATTCTGAGCCAAAATATTCGTTGTATCTTTCAATACGCTTTTTTAGTAATTTAAAATTTCTTGGAACTAGTGACAATCATCGATATTTGTAAGTTCGATAAATTCTGGTTGCGTTAATTAAGTGAATAAATGCTATTATAAATTCGTATATTATCATTGTTATCCCCTATGGGAACGAATTTATTTGATGAAAGAAAAATAATATGTTAAGCGAATCACAATGAAACTAAATTAATGAATATATTAACTGAAAAGGGAGAAAACTGTTCAAAATTAATTATCATTTACACGAAAATGGATCAAGTAAAAACATCATCCGACTGGAATGAGAATGACCATTGGTCAGACAATCTAATACAAAAAGATCCCTCGGATTGGGATGACAATCGTAGTTAGATCAACATGATAAATTATCTATTCTGATTCTGATTTGTTAGATAAAATTATTTCGATAATCAAGATAATAAAAGTAAATGAATTAAAACTGATGACAGAATTAACTGAATTATCAAAGAGTGAGAATGAGATTTTGTTAGATGGAGATGAAGATGATGATGATGATGATGATGATAAGAGAGAGAGAAAGATAGAATCCACTTGTAAGTAACTATAGAAACCATGAGAACATGGGAGTTATATGGTAACTATCAGTTCTCAACATGATGCTGAGCTGAATGCTTCAGAATACTCGATGAAAGAAAGACTCTGATGTACCAGAAGCTAAGAAAAGTTTCCAAATGAAAATGATATTTCGATAAAAAAATTTCCTAATCTATTATTCAATAGTAAACTTATCAACTGTCAACTTTAATTGTGACAATTAAGTATAAACAACTAATTTAACCAACAAACGGAAATTAATGTGACGATTAAAATTAATCGTAACTTTTTGTGTTTTTTTAATGTTACAAGTTAATGATTAACAATAATGTGTTTTGATTATTATTAATTGTTATCATCATGAGATATTGATTGTGATTAATTAAATGCCAATGTGAAGTCAATGAGCTTACATGTTAACCACAATTGACTTTAATTGTTGGTAAAAGTTGATAACAGTTTTTTTTGTGATTAAATTTTTTCAATCTCTGATAAATTGTGATAAAAATCATAATGGTTTTTGTTTCTTGGATAATATCAATTGTCTGGCAATTACAATTAATCAGATTTAGTCAACAATTAGAGTTAACTAGTGGTCAACAATCAGTTGAATCAATAGTAAATTCATCAAATATTAAAAGATTAACTCTTGATAATAACAAATTAGCTTCAAAATCATTGATCATCAACAGTAAAAATTTAACTATTAATAGTAAATTAAATACTCGAATTATTGTTAAATCCCCTCCAATTGTTTTGATTAATACGACAACAATTAACTCCTACTATTATCCATCATCTCGATCATTAATTTCATCTGCATCTCTTATCCCTCAACAATATGATGTCACCTCTAAAAATCAACTAACAATTAAGTCATGTAAGTAAATTAAGTATTCATCAGGTTGATTAACCAAAATTAAGCTAAAATGATCAGCCAATAATCATTGAGAAATCTTAATCTAATCATCTCAATGTTGAAAATAAATTCTTATAATGGTTAATAAATAATGTACAATGTATTACAATTAAGCTCATGTTTCATAGATGAAAAAAGTAAAGTTAAATGAATTAATCATTTTTGATCAATTGTATTAACAATTATCCTTATCATGAACTGTTCCTTTCCAATCATGAAATTCAATCAAGGTAATGATTTCAAAGTATTATTTCATTAGCTCTCCAAATATGATCAAACGATATTTTGATCAGAACTTATAAATTTTGAATTAAGATTAATCTTCATGAAAAGATGGTAATAAGAGATTTATGATGAATGATTTCTCAATATTCTCCAGGTAAATCTCAAATATCACTTTGAATATCCATTAAAATGATTTTATTTAGTCTCACCTTTTAGGGAAGTAAAAATTTCATGATGTATACAATAATCTCCTTAGAGGGACATTAACATGAATCGACTTCTAAATTCATCGGTATGATCTGGAATGGAAATTGGTCCGAAATATCGATGTGAACTAATTTTGTATATTCTTTCACTTTGTCTTCAGTGATTATGGTTATTACTCTTGGATGTGATCTACTCATTTCGGATTTTCATAATTAATTTGAATTAGTTCGAGCCAATGGTCAACAGATTTAAGTGTAAATCGAGTATTGCTTTAAACTCACTTTCACTTTCCTTGCCATTGGAACAACAATTGCAATTCTATTGAGTTTACCTCGACATAAAAGTGAATGAATTAGATCAGCACAAGATTTGATTCTCTCTGATTCTTGAGGAATAAATTTAACATGATAATTAAGATCATTTGCAATTACAGCCTCGAAAAGATCACCGAAAATTTGAATAGAATTTTTCATATATTGAGTAGCGAAATTTTTCACTTCTTTAGTCCAACAATCAGCGAGAATTAACATTGGTGCAGTCAAAAGGCTATTTAAATCATCGGCAATGTTTAATCTAAGAAAAGATGATAAGAGATCGATTAGTTGATTAGATTGGATTCGATATTTAAAGCTATTGATTACTCACCGTTTCTTGTAAGATTTAAGATAAGCCAAGACAATGGATTGTACCAATTCGGGTTGGATGGTGAATGATTTATCGGCATCATCGAAGACAAGAAGTGAACAGATATCAAATCGAACACACTGAACAATAGAAATTATTAGAAAATGATAATTATTCTATAAATAATAGACAACAATTAAGAATATGAAAAAGATCAAGAGACTTACACCATTGTCTATGAATCTCTGTAGAGGTCCTGGAGTAGAAATTAAAAGATCACAACCATTAAGAATATTTGTCGACACTGACTTTTCATTGTCTTTAGTCAATAGAATGATTCGATTACTATTCCTAGAGTTGAGAATGGAATAGATTTGTTCCCTGATCTCGTAGACTTTGTTGAGTCCTGAACAAACAACAACCACTTTCGGTCCTTCGTCTCCGTAGATCAATTGATTGGGATCATTGTCTTTAAATTGTGAATCACTTAGAGCGGGGATGAGGTAAGACAGAGTTTTACCCGATTTTGGGGCTGAGATACAAGTCGCCGATCGACCTCGAAATAGAATTGGCCATAAATGGGATTGAACGGGAGTCGGAATGTCCAATTTGAGCTACTGAATTTATGCGAATTCGATGATTCATAACCAGCAATTTGATTGATTCCGTCCACAGGTTGAGAAATAGACACAAAAAAAGTTATCTTTACTTGATTATCGTTAACTGCGTGAATATCTTAAAAAGTGGTTGCAAACTACAAAGTCTTTGGCTGTATATTAAAGGGCTTTTCCATTAAACCAATTTGATTAATCTGAATTATGGTGAGTTTTTTAGATAAGATTATCTAATCATCACTACGATTAGATTACTTGTTGATTATTTGAAAAGCAAAGTGGAAGCTACGGCAAAAAGTTAATGGAAAAGGTAAAGCTCGGTTATTTTTCGCAATCAGCTGACAATTAACCAACCAGCTGATATTTAAAACAACATTAACAGAGTTTAATTCGGTTTTTCAGTTAATGGAAAAGCCCTTAAATAAATAATTGCCACCAATGCAACTGACTGGCTTTGAATATAAAAGTTTACATGATGTATCGATTATATTAATCAACAATGGAAAGTATTGAATATAAATACTCAAGTTCGGTGATAAAGGATAAATGAGTATATGTGTACTAGCAGTATCTTGGTATTGGATTTGAGAGTAAATCATGATCAATACTATTTATTTTAATGTGGCTGTTACTAGAGAGAGAGAGAGAGAGAGAGAGAGAGATGACAATATTTGAAGATTATCATTCATAATACAACATTATATTTAATGTTGAAATTAATCCGTTAACTGTCATCAGAAATTAGAGTGGATTGACATTCAGTCAAGCTGATCAGAAAGATCTGTAACTAAATGAATACTCGAGATGAGGGAGATTAAATATACTAGGTTATGTATGAGCTAAAATAGTAACATGGTTCAATGAATATTCATGTTCATGAGTGTTTTTGCCTCAATATATTTCTGATCAAGTTTTTCATGAGCTTTTTTTGTTTCCTTCATGCAAGAGTGAAAAGCTACTCAGACGATCTGACATTTACAATACAGTGTTTCGTGATCGAAGAGACCAAATTACGAATGATAAATTCCTTTTTTTTCATATCAACAAAACAAAAGTTACAAATTCGTAGCATTGATTTAAATCAAAACTAATCAATTTTCATGTGTTTAAGCCCCGGTGGTTTTACTACCATAATTGTTATAATTAATTAATTTAAACTAAAGGTATTTTAAATCAAAATTACATTTATATGATACAAGCGGACACAAACTTTCGTCAGAAATTTTTTTAATAAGTTAGTGTTTATTTGACAGACCCGCGTTTAAATACAAATACATTGTATATTTAAATGCGAATCATTTATCATTGTCATTTTATCAACTGTTTTTCACAATAATCGTAGATTGAAAAAAATAAATTGTACGAAAAATTTTCACCCACTATACATGATATAGAACGAAAATAAAGTGTTAAC